TGAGATAGTCTTACAAACACAGGACTTTCACCCAGGAGACTGCTGTTCATGTCCCCTGTGAAACCAAGTCAACGTTGACTTATTTCTTGGTAGTTTTATGTAATTTCTGTACTTTAGAATTTGTAGTAAGTGTGGTCATTTTATCCCAAACCCACGTTTTTTTCCTAAGCTTAACTAAGTACTGTAGCTTTGTTGCATAAATAAACCTTGAAACAAAGTAAACCTTGGTTGAAAGTTAAAAGAAACTGTCAGCATGTAAGGAGCGGGTAATGTTTGTTTCCTGTCAACACAGAACTTTATTTTGAAAAGACACTGTTCATGTTACAAGCGGTAACAGACACACTGGCTGTGTCCAAACCTGAAGCTGGAGGAGAACACTGACTCAGCGGCGGTATTTGACGAGTTGGGAGTGAGATTGTGTTGTTCTCGTAGTAGCTGTAGCAGAAAAACTGTTGTGCTCCTGTCTTGTTTACTTTATTTGCAAACTTTCAGACAACACAACCATCACTGAACCTTGTCTGAACTGTTGGTAAACTTATTTACAATGTTTAGTGCTAATTAGTCAACGTTAGCATGCTAACAAGCTACTCTAAGATGTCAAATCTGACTGCAGACCTCATCTCTGGAAGCTACTGTTTATTTCTGTGTGAGATAAGAGAGACCCATTTCTCATCCAAAAATACCACTTCTTTATCAGTTTATTCAATTTAGTTTGATGTATCAAACACAAGTTGCTGATCATGTGGTTCCCACTGTGGAGCCTGTGATGTGTTGACAACTTGATAAGCTGGATACAAAACAAACAATTCACTCCAGAACAGTATTGCATCTAACAGATATGAGGAATAAGTCCAACGGATCTGGCGTGCAGTGAGCCGTGAGCTTCTGCATCTTTAAATGTGACTTTTCATGCCAAGAATTTCTACATGGCAGATGTTTCTTTCTCGCAATTTTTGGCACGAATGGCAAGCTGATGCTTTAGTCTAAACCTCTTTGTAATATAGGGGGAAAATAACTTATTTTTTATGTATGTAATCGCAGAAGAAACAAGAAAAAAAACTCTAGAATAGATTAAAAGTAAACTCACACCCCCCCCCCCCCAAAAAAGTATGCAAAGATTTAATGCTGCAACATCTGTCTTAAGAAAACAACTCACTCAGTTCATTGAGGTGATTAAGGCATGACTTGGCCCAGATGTAAAAGGAGTGGTGCACTCTTCAAACACACCTTTGCAGATGGTGCCAAGATTATGTCATCAAACCCAGCGTAGCTAATACATGTCCCTTGGCACTGCAGCCAAATGAACAGAATACAAACACCTGTCTGCTCTACTTTTCTGTGGATTTGTGATGCGGCTAAGAGGTGCCAGTCAGCCATCAGGCGGTCGCTGCTCGGGCTCAGGTGATTTGGCTGAGCATTGGTAAAGCGGTGAAGGCTTTTTTTGGCGGCGCCGGGTAAACCCCAGTGACAGTTTGTGGATGCAGGCTCATGCAAATGTGCTGATGCCACAGAGGTTTTTGACAGGTGGGCTCCAGTTTCGCCCGAGGCCTGGGAGGGACGGCTGTCCGTTACACGGGGCCGAGCCGGGGACGAGGCAGTAAAACATGTCCTGAGAACCATGTGGTGCAGCAGAGTACATGGGAATACACTGCAGCGGTGCTGCACGGGGATCTGAGGGGGAAACATTTGAGAAATAAGGGGAGGAGTTTTATTTGATTGTATTCGTGTTTTTCAAGCGAAAACTTTCGGCACAACAAGCCACGCTCTTGCTTTTATCCCGTATTATGTTTCAGAATGTGAAGAGAAAGAAGTTAAAGGAATTTTTGTCACTTTTGAGGAAAATATATGAAAAAGCCAAAGGACCCTTGAATAAAGCAAACAAAGTATATTCTGACTGAAGTATTATTGTGCTGTATATTTACTGCTTTGTTGAATATATTTCAAGTCTCTGTTGTAGAGGAGAGATCATGCAACAAAGTTCCTCTTTTGCTGATGAAGCTTTATTTTGAGTGTTTTGTTGGATCATCTCATCTACTTTAACTCGACTAAACTTCCAGAAAATAACAGTTTTTGCACGCGTAGGATCATTTGGTTCTCTTTTTTTCCACCGTTAACAACATAAGTCACTCACGCAAACATGCATTCTCTGAAATATTCCTCGCTCCACTTCTGTTTAACAAATCCTTCGCACCGTGCCTGAACTCTTCCCTAAAACACGTCACCTCATACTCCTCCCGGCCCTCTCAGGTCGTCATTCATTCCCTCCGACACGTCATTTGTACCTCACTTAGTGAACCTGCGAACTTTGTGCCCCCCCCCCACCCCCTATAACTCCTAGTTGTCAGTTAAAGCCATTTCTGAATCCTTGTTGCATAAATCAGAAAGAAAAGAGAGACATAAGAGAAGGTTTGGAAGCAGATTGTTCATGTGCACTCATTCACATGAACACTGTTGACGAATCTCTCATCAGCAGCAGGCTCCCAAGCCTGTTGCTAGTCTGTGAGGGAGAGAGTGTGTGTGTGTGAGTGTGTGACTGTGTGTGCGTGTGTGTGTGTGTGTGGGAGATGAGGGTTTAGGCACGTTGTCTGCTAGGCCGTCCAAGAAGCCCCAGGGCACCTCAGTAAAAGAGATAATTATCTTTTATCTGCTATGTTGTGACGGGAGATTATGGTTCAAATTTACGATTGTTAAGGAGACAATGCAACGCGAGGCTGCTCTTTTCAAAAGTGGCGAGGGGGTCTCGAACAAGTGAGAGAACTCCCACAATGCCGTGGCGGCTCATCCCTCATGCTTCAGGTCTTTGGAAACAAAGGGACAGGATCAGAGCGACAACAGCCATTTACTTTCAAAAAGAACTATCGTAATCCTATAGCATGTTTTGGAGAATGCTAAATAAACAGTATATTGTATCTTGCATGGTATCAAAGTGGAATTGAAAGAGATTGAAGATACCACTGACTCCAATAAAATCCCTGTTAGCTCACTGTGGAGGATACAACACCCTTAAATTAAAGACTTTATCTTCCTGCAGAGACTTGGATGTTGTCTGTTGGACTCCAAAGTGAATATGAAGCATCTCTATTGAAGGTAAAGTAGTATTTACAGTTTGATGTGCCATAATAACATTTGTATTATATAATGAAACTGCTGCAGTAACCTCTATGGCACCTTTAACGTTAAAGCATTTTTATGCTTTTTAATTAGCTCTTACATGCTTAAAGGAGTAATTTGAAACTTTAGGAAATACACTTTACACATTCTATTTCTCCACAACTCTTGTGTCTGTCCGTTAAACATGAAGTCAAAGCTGGTTAGCGTAGCATAGCATAGAGACTGGAAACAAGGGGAAACAGTTAGCCTAGCTCAGTACAAAAACAAGAGTGTGAAGACGACAAGTTTCAGGTTTTTTTGAGGGGCTTTGCGCTGGACAATTTCTTTGTTTTTTGTAAGTCGTAAACAAACGAGATAAAGATTAATAAAGATTAATAAGTGAGCTCCAGAGGTGCTGTTAGTCAGGTGCTAGCTTGCCGGTGGATCGAGAACACAAAAGGAAAGGAGGTCGAAGAAAAGGGGCGTACTGTATTTGACATTTTTGTAAACTTTGGGAATTCCACTGGCATTCAAAATAATGCTTGAATAGAGTTTCTAATGAACGATGCACTGGCAGGTTGAGGAAGTTTCAGGCGTTGAAAACTGAATGATTTTGTGTCTCTTTCCATTTTATTGTCTGGTTTAGGAAAGAAATCGCAACTTTTACGCTGTGAATGTCCCGAAAATGAATCCTTCAAACAGACTCTTCTCTTCTGAGAGTTACATGCTCACCAATGCAACTTTGACTGATAAATAACATGATGTACCGACTGATTCATGATAAAGAAAGCTTTTTTTTTATCAGCTCATTCGTGCCTTTATTAAATGAATATAATAAATAAATATATATTTGAAGTGCAACTATATCCGTGCTATTTAAGTGTCACAATACAAACCCGACGCTGTAACAGACATCGACTGTCACAGACAGAACTAGACATCTTCATATTCTGGGTTTGGACTGTGGGACAGGAGAGGAATGGTTCACCCACAGCACACAGCTGGCTCCCCCACATGTGACCACACTGACACTTCACAAACAAACAGGTTTCTACTTCCTGTGGTGTGAGGCTGATCAGTTCAGCTCTGTGGGGATGAAGTGATTTCTTCCCCTCTTTACTTTGAAAATCCACATGCATACTCAAAGACGTCATTTCAATGTTTGTCCCTTTGTGAAAATGATGATAATGACAATTCCTCCGACACGATGACCCCGAATCTGACCTCACCTCTTGCTGACGGTGACAGCGGCGCTGCCTGGATGAAGATGGACTATTCCTTCGAGCCGATTACGTCCACAAATCTGTCATCATCCTCACCTGAAAGACGAGAGGCAGACGCAGGAAGAGAGAGAGACAGACGGAGAGAGAGAGACAGAAGTAAGTGGTTTGTGACGACGATGATGGAGGAAAGAGGAGAAGAGATCACGCAGAGTTCGTTGGTCCGTATTCGTCCTCACCTGAGCCCGTTGCTGCACATCCAGTCACCCTTGGCAGACGTCCACCGCTAAACACAAGAAGGGGGGGAAAAAAGGTCAGCCAGAGGCCATGGGGTCCCACAACGGGGCAAAGCACTCCTCAATCCCTCTCTACACACACACACACACACTATTCCCATTCTCATTCCACATGCCCCCTTGACCTCACTATTAAAACACAGGAGCAAATCTCCCGATTCGTCACAGCGGCTCAGAAACAAATGACGCCAAATACCTAACTTCTGCATGGCTCTTTTTTCTGCGGCAGCTGCCGGCTTTGGCAATCCGCTTGTCCAAATATATTCCGATATTGGAAATGTGGTTCCCAACAGCGGTAGGTAGGGGGATCCGTTGGAGTCGTGTGGCGCTTTTCAGGCCACATTTCAACAACAAATAGTGTGAGGATCGACTTCAACGGGAAATAAAGAAACCCATCTGATGAACTTGTGCCTCAATCAAACCAATGATACGACAACGCAGCGGGTATTTTCCTTCTTCTTGATATAAGCGCCTCGGTATTTACTCCCGCAGCCCGTCAGGGAAGTTTATCTGGATGTTATGAATCCCCGGAGTGTGCACCAGCATTAGGATAAAAGGCTGAATGTCTTTGTTTGGGATGTTCAGCGGGCTTTCACAGGTACAAACCTGCTGAAAAGAAACGATTTACAGAAGTCTCACGGTCACACTACAATCACCGGCGCTCACTTCTGATTTGTTGTGGATCTTTTATTTAAATCTGGTAACACAGCAGAGGCACAGCAGCCGTCTTTGTTGTTGAGGTCCACTATGGAAACAAGTTCTATCTTTTTATCTTTTTAACCTTTTATGCATTACGCCGTGTTTGTTTTACGAGCTTTTCTAATTTATTTGAGTCTTTAGAAGCCCAGGACCCATGTTGGTATTATTTTTGTGACTAATATTTGTTTAACCTGTTGTTTTACTGTTAATCTTTCTATTATATTATATTACAGCAGTCACATGTAAAGCCCTTTGAACTGCATTGCCCTGTATGGCAGTATGGTTTCCTCTCTCACAGTGATAGCAGTGTATTCTCTGCTACATGTCACATGTGGACGGTGCTGCATTGTGCTCAGTTTTTGTTTGCGGTCTCAAAACCCAGAACTGTATTGAGTTCCGTGGGCTTTGGGAATCCTGAGCAGAGCTGATAACTTCCAGGTTGCCCGACAAAAAGACTGTCTACATAGAAGTTAAAGGTGGAGGAAGCTCCAGACACTTTGTGGTTGATTCAGTGGTCGAAACCAACGGAGTTCCTCTTATTTTGCCAGCTGAATCATTTCTCAGCAGTAGACGTGATGCATTCAGTGATATGTTCATTAATTCACAGAATTGTTCTAGTTTTTTGTTCATTTTAAGGATGAGACGTATATATATTTTTGCTTAATAAATTGTATTTGACCAGGTGTCTGTATCTCATTGATGAAAGTGTAGAAGAAGCTCGTTGAGCGAGTTCATTACAGAAATGATGCTGTTTCCTGATGAGTCGTCCTCACTAGATGAATGCTAGGTGTTTGATGTGTGTGTGTACGCTGTGTGACGGTCGGTGTGTGTTTATGTGTCGGTAGGATGAGACAAAAGCCCCTTCAGCCCGCGGTGCCTGGCCTCTCTGACCCTGCCATTTGATTTGTTCCTCCATTGGCTCTGTTTATTTCTGCTCTTCCTGTTTGTGCTCAGCTGACCGTACGAGCTGTTCCTGTGAATGCTGGGTAAAAAAACGAATGATATACTGCATCAGGCGGGGTGTTGCTGGTTGTGGTTGTGGTGGGCAGGGCAAGGTGTCAAAGATCACACGGGGTGCAGCAGGAGACAGAAAAGACGGCTCTCGACCACAGTGCTAACATGTCAACAGAGATTAAACTAGTTTATTATTTTCAAAGAGGAAAAAAAATTACGAAACAAAAAAGCAGTCATATTTTACACTAGTGATTATTATTAAATTTTTACAACCATTCAGTCTGCATAACATAAAGAAATAATTCTACATCTTTGTTTATTTCGTATTTTTGGTACTCTGATTTATACATACAAATAACAAATACAGGAACTTTTTTCACAATGCATATAATCTGTGGGCAGGAAGAAAGTCTTTCAGGTGAACAAATTTTGTGTGTGCGTGCGTGCGTGCGTGTGTGTGTGTGTATGTACGTGCACGTGTCAACACAAACCAATTGCCCGAGACCTATAGCACATCCAAAAGTAAAAACAAAAAAAGAAGAGACGTCATTTCAGCCGGAGCCGCAGACTCTCTGCAAACTTAATGCAACACAATTCACGCAGGCGAAAAACCGAGGCCTGCCCTTTCTCAAGAGTCTCCTCGCCTCCTCCTCCCTTGTTTCCTTTCCTCTGGGACTCTCCTCCCTCGTCTCTCCTACTCGTACCCTTCTCGTTGTTAGCTGCCCAGGGGCATGTTTCCTTTTTTATTTTTCTCACTAAATTAAAAAGTCTTCATTAAATGTACTGTATTTCATACAATTTGTACAAATATATTCAACGTGTGTCTCTCCTCATCTCCAGCGTGAGGAGGAAGAGGAAGATGAAGAAGAAGGGGAGTGTGTGTGTGTGGGGGGGGGGGTTTCCTGTTACACAGGTGCAAAGTGAAGAGAGGCGGGGTTAGGGTGAGGTCGTAAAAGTTTTTTCAATGTTCTTGTGATGTTTGTGTGTGGAAAAAAATGGCTTTTTGTACACAAATGGAGCTCCTTATCGTGTGGATCAGCTGGGAGGGCAGCCTCAATGTGGCGGCGGCTTGAGGAGAAAATATTCTTTCTCTCGCTGGTTGGAGGGAAAGCAAAATCCCCCCCCCCGGAGACCAGCGCGCCACGGTCAAGTCTGCAAAGCATTCACATCGCAGAGGTACACTTTGATTTTATAAAAATAAGATACAACTGAGGACAAAGGAGCCGAAAGCCTGCTGATCTCGCGCCGCAGCTTGGTGATGGTGGGACAAAACGGGGGAGGGGGGCTGGGGTCGGGCCGAGGAGCGGTTCATTTGTCTTTTAGGATATGGAAGCAGAGGTACCGAGGGATGTGGTGGTGGTGGGCGAGGCCGAGGGCGCTGCGCGGGGGAGACCTAACCCATGGCTGTGACCATACTGGAAGGGTGGTGGGGGGCGAATGAGAGGCCGGAGGAGGGGTGCATGGGTGTGGGGGTGCTCAGCATGTGGCCGGAGTGCGAGAAGGGTGGGAATGAGGACATGTGGCGGGACAGGGCGGCCGGGCTGAAGGAGCTGCTCTTGTCCATCAGGCTCTTGGAGTAGTCGTCCATGCTGTCTTGGGACTTTTTGCTCTTCTTAGACTTGCTGGACATCTTCCTGTTCCTGGTCTGGATGCCTTCCTTCTTCATGGTCAGAGGTCGGTTGATCTGCTCTCGAAAGGAGACAGAGAATATGGCAGATTAGTATTTTGTCGCAACGTGTGCGCGGCGTCGCGTTCACACAGGATAGAAATCTTAAAAAGACATCGTGGCTCCATTTACATTAAGCAACACAATAATAATAATAAAAAGAATTTCAAAATAAGACAGAAGATGTGGCACAATCTAGAGCTTTTACTTTCCTCTTTAGATTCTGGGGTTTTGGGGAGACATAATGATATATAATGGAGTCCCATTACGGGGCAAATCTGACTGTCCCATCCTGAAACGGATGATTGTTTACATACTATTTGTGTGTGTATGTGTGTGTGTGTGTTGGGGTGGATTTAAATGTTGATTCATTTAAGCTGAACTGTATCTGAGGCTGCGACCGTGCCAGAGAGACAGAGAGAAAACGGGGAAGATGTAGAGAGAGAGACTGTGTGCAGAAACGGCCTGGCAGGGACACATGGCCACGACGACCGCCGGCCTCGGCCAAGTCCTCCTCTCCATCTTCCTCCTCCTCCTCCTCCTCCTTGACCGCGTGGCCCGTCTCCTGGCCAAAACGGGGCCACAGCTGCCATATTCCAGCGAAGGTTTAGCCGAGAGCTGGATGATGGAATTCAGGGCCGGATTACGAGGAGAGAGGTGGACGAGGCCGACTGGCTTCCTGATCTCGGGGAAACGGGAAGCGGGAGGTTCTCCTCCTGTCTTGAGACGCTTGCCCACTTCCTTCACTGGCTCTTTAAGCAGAGCGGCCCGGATGATCGGTGGAGGGCAGAGATCTGTGGTTTTGTTCTCTGAGATGTGGGAGACTCTCTTCTCTGCCTTGCTTCCAGCTCTGAAGGCCACGCTACGCCCACCTACAGCAGGTCAGCCCCCCCCCCCGGGCCCTCCGGGCCGCCGCGGCACATCAACCAAAGAGCCGAGCCAAGGCGTTTGAGTCAATGACCGCCGCAGAAATACACAGTGCAAGCCCCTCACATCCTCTTTCCCCAAACACCAGCACAGCAGCTAACCACCAGAACCCCCCCCCCC